TCTGACGGTCTTAAAACAAGATTTGGGACAAAGCAATTTCAGATTCAGATTTAGAAACATGGATGTTTTAATTATGGAAATAAACTCAGACAGCCCTAGGTCAAAGTGGGCTGTCAGAGGGGGCTGGGTGAGGGGGGGATGAGCGATAAGTAAGTAAGTAAGTTTATTTATATACCGCCTTTCACAGACCAGAGTCACAAAGCGGTTTACAATTGTTATTTTTGGGCATTTGTCCTCTCACTCCACACAGAAATGGGAGCGGTAGTACAGGAGGCGCATGCCAGACCTATTGTACATGTTTTCAGTGGTAGGGAAAACCGGAGTACTCAGAGGAAACCGACACAGACTCAGGGAGAACATGCAAACTCCGCTCAGAAAGACGCTGCTCCGACCGGGATTCGAACCAAGGACCTTCTTGCTGAGAAGCGAGAGTGCTACCCACTCAGCCACCATGCCAATAATTTTCTCTTATTTCAAGGGAGACTTTTCTTGGATATTTATTCTTGTCCCACTGGCAAATCTTTTTTTAAGGCGGTCAGAATTGTGCTCAAATTAAGATACATATAGTCAAATTTGAGACATTTTTGACTTATTTATCACTTATTGGTGCATCCCACTACAATAGTGTTTATGTTTTGCTGTTGGTTTAAGTTTAATATTTGGCAGTAAAAAAAAATCATAAGAGGGGACACCTAAGGTCACTTCCTTCCCTGCAATTTGCACACTCCCCTGCTGTGTACAATATGGGCCAGGAATCACCTACACCTGATTTGTGCATACCTGTGGGCCATACAACTGCAGCGGGGGTGACAAATGCCCGTCACCCAGAGGCCGAAGTCAGAGGTCAGATTTTACACCTGTCAACAAAGAACAGCTGCTTTCATGGCTCAAGACTTGCAGGACTACATGAAACTCACAAGAACTTTTGAGCGTTGAATAGTTTACCAAATGTAAGTTGCAGTGGTCTTTAACGTCAAGTATGTTTTTCTATAGTGTAAGCCAGAAACCCAAAAAGCCACTGGAAAAATTTTGCGATGGCCCCCGAAGAAATAAGCAGTGGTGGTAGAGATGGAAAATGATCTGGGAGAAAGTCTCTGAATGTTTGGGGAGCTAACGAAAGTGACGCAACAGCTGATGAAGCTAACAGAACTTGAAAGTGAAACAACAACCTTTTTTTTATTGTAAGAGAAAAGGACAAAACCATTGAGGACCTTGAGAAAAGAATTGATCACTTTGAGCAGTACACCAGAATGGAAGATTTAATAATTATAGGCCTTACCATCAACCCTCAATCTTATGCTGGAGCAACCATGGAAGGCAGAAGTGCAAGGATGCTAACGTTGAGGATGTACCTGAATCCCATCGCCATGTTGGTGTTCCACAATATGCAACAAAGAGACAAGGCCAATCCAGCTATTGGTGCCTTTGGAAATCGCAAACTTAAAATTGAGCTCATGCGACAAGGGAAGAAGCTAGAATCAGTGCATTTGAATGATCATCTCCCGAAGACGACGGCTAGAATTGATAGAGAAGCCCAAACTACTACAAAAGCTGAGAAAGTCTTTATTCATTCAAAAGAAATGTTGCAATGACAGACGAACTAATAAAACTAGAACATCAAACCGCAACATATTGAAATTTTAAATCACATAAGGATTAACTATTTTTTCTAAATGTATTACATTTTAAGCAGTACTATGTGTATGCTGTCAGACGTTAACAATGCAAAGCTTGCAGCTGGTGTGTACAGTTATTAGCCCCTACAGCTCCCCTTCTCGATGGGCTTTTCGACGCTAACCTTAAAGAAGATAAATGATGCAACATATATTTTTTGAGTTTCTCTTAAAAAAATCCAACATTGCTCCTCATCAGTCACAGTCCTGGAGTTGTTTTTGATCCATCCACAATAATATCAGGAACCTCTGGCACAATGTACTGTAACACCACCTCAGAGATATGGTGTTACGTGGGCGGCACGGTGGCTGAGTGGATAGCACTCTTGCCTCTCAGCAAGAAGGTCCTGGGTTCAAATCCCGGTCGGACCAGGGCCTTTCTGAGTGGAGTTTGCATGTTCTCCCCGTGTCTGCGTAGGTTTCCTCCGGGTACTCCGGTTTCCCCTACTACTAAAAATATGTACAATAGATCTGGCATGCGCCTCCTGTTCGGCGACCCCGCTCCCATCTCTGTCTGGAGTGAGAGGACAAGTGCCCAAAAAAATAATAACAATTGTAAACCGCTTTGTGACCCTTGTCTGTGAAAGGCGGTATATAAATAAACATTACTTACTTACTTACTTACTCAGAGATATGCGTGATAGTGGATGTACGGAGCAGCATTTGAAGAGAAAGTATTCCTCCTTCCACACATTGCACACCCCCCTCACCCCCCTCTCACAGTAGATCTGTGGATAAGGGCTTAAACATGTGGGCCCATGTCGGAATGAGAGGTCACCCCAGGATAGAGAAGGCAGCCGAGCCTTCTGTGCACTTTACACAGACATCACCTGCGGTTTATTATTACTGGTTTTGAGGACATCAGAAGGTCACACCATTGACCTACAGCTGTGTTCTATTCAAAGACGTACTGGTTTTCATTTTCAATCTGACATGACGACAGATGAATGCAGAACAAAGTGTGGCATAAAAGAGGTGAAGGTTTTACAACATTACTGTATTTTCCATCAACAAACATTTTGCAAAAGTCTGATCACGATATTTTTATTTTATTTACAAGGATCCCTTCTGGAAAACAGCCGAATGTTGTTGGAAATTTTAGATTAGTATCTAGGTTTTGGGAGATGGTTGTCACGATCCGTTCGTACTCCTGTGTTCGGGCTGGTCCTCTCCTCTCCCCTGGTGCCCTGCTCTCCCCTGGTGCCCTGCTCTCCTGCACTGGTCCCATGCTCTCCTCTCAAAGACATGAGGTTCACTTGCCACCCGCGGCCCAGCAGGTGTACAAATGTCACAGTGGAATACATGTCCGACTGAAACAGAGAACAAGTGTGTGTGTACGTGTGCATGTGTGTGTGTGTGTGTGTGTGTGAGTGCATGCGTGAGTGCGTGTTTGTGCGTTTTTGTGCGTACATGTTTGCCGTCTTCCTGAAGATGTGGACCTGCTTCGTTCTTGTGTTGGCCTGTTGTTTAGACAATAGAATAAGAACAGTTGTAAGAATAGCATACACTGTAAACACATGTTTAATATGAATTCATGAAATCAAATGAATTTTCAATGTAAGTCAATAGGAGCCAGAGCGAGTAGTAGATGGTTGCTATGGTTACATTGTCCATCTATATCAGTGGTCCCCAAACTACGCCTCTACATTTGCTCCGGCCCCCTGAACAATACCAGAGAGTATTTTCATATTTGGGCTTGTTCACACTAAAGGGCACAAAAGTGTGACAAAAGGCCAAACATTTTATTTTAATAATCAGAAGATATTTTATGTTTTTCATGTTTCCAAATCCCTCCTCTGTCCATTAGAAGTTGCTAGAACATAACTGTTTTATACATTAGACAAGTTTCCTATAGCGGCCCTGTTTATTTTATATAACGGACGTGATGATTTGACGGAATGAGCTCTGTGGAAACCAGACCAGATTATTTTTCTCAAGTTTAATAGTTAGAAAAAAATGGTTGGAAACCATCACGTCCGTTTCAAGGGTCATTTATTTTTTAAACTTTTTTACGATTCCTTTTTTTATGCTGTGTTAATCATGTAGATCTTGTGGGAGTTCATCTGCTGCTTTTTCAGACTGAGGACATTTTATGTTCTATGTAACCAGCATCACAGTAGAATGGTCCAATCAGAGGCTGATTTTGTCCTTTAAAATGCCGCCAAAAATATATTTGTCAATCTTTCCTTTTGATTTTATCCACACTATCTCTTCAATTTGTCTGTGTTTGAAATCTTTTTTCTAATCTGTGATAGTAATTTTAGTTTTGGAGTTATAACCTTTTAAAGTCCAGATACTTTAATTGACACTTTACTGTGAACACACTCATATGTGTATCTGACTAATATTTTAACTATTAGTTAGTAACTATTTCAACGCTGCAATCATCACACTTTTTCTGTTACAAACTGACCCGGCCCCCATCAAAGAAGGGAAAAGTTATGTGGCCCTCACAGGAAAAAGTTTGGGGACCCCTGATCTATATACAGTCTACGTTCCCATTCCAGAGATGAACTGAAAATGTTGTGTATATCTGGCCATAACGTTTTGAGTTGTCTTGCAGTGATTAGTCTCCATTGTTGCATTGAAATGTCAAGGTCAGGCCTTTCATCAGCCTCACAATGTCACATAATGTTTACAAGGTTCACTGCTGGTTTACTGTGGGTTTACTGGTTGAAAGTGTGTACTCCTGGCCATATTTGAGAGAATGATAACAAACACTTTTTTAACTCTTTGTCAATGGTTGTATGACTGCCATTTCTTGTCAAAAAAGTGTTTTCTGTGAGTATTTCCCCTTTACACTTATAGAAGCTTGGAGTTTGTTGTGGTAGTTGTGGATGAGGTTCTTTATTCTCTCTGATTATCAATCTGCAAAAAAGCCTCTAAATTCCTTGGTTGTCTTGCAATATCAGCACAATTTAGATCTCCCCAGTGGCGAGATTACGCTTTTATTTTGAAATGAAAAACATGTTCCTTTGACAAGAAATTGCTGGCAATTTATAAAAGTACCAACTGTGATTGTGTTCATAATTCATAATCTTTGAATTATGGGCAAAACAATGTAATCTATGGCTGGTGTGTGAATTTTCAAAGACAAATTAAAGTTTGGTTGTCTTGGTCTCCAAGTGAGACTCGGTCCATACTTTGGGCAGGATGGATGAAGACAGAGAGTGCTCCCTGTGGCTGAAGCAGACCGGCCCCTGTCGCCCTGTGCAGTCAGAGGATCTGCAGGAGTCAGCAATCCTCCGTGCATCCAGTCGACCGGAAAACACGTCTTCCTTTTGCACTGTCCGGATGTGTACACGCTGCCCCTGCTAAACACACATGCTAACGGCCCAGCAGGCTGAGTGGCCCAGCGGAGCGGCCCAGCAGAGCAGAAGACTTACATGAGGTAAGAGAGGGAGCGCAGCCAAAACACACACTCTGGACAGCACTCTTCAAACACAGCCTGGTCAGCCGGAGACTCATCCTTCTGTGGGACACTTCTGAACCACCACCAGCTGACCACTCAGGGCTGGCCATGGTGGACACATGTCTGCAAAGTGCCTATAAGGTGCCAAAATAACACGTGTGTCACTAGATACACATTAAATAGAGACCATTAGTAGCTGATAAAGACAAAACAGGCAAGAGACATTTATATCTATAATTTCACACATATAACTTTCTATTAAACCATTTTTCCAAAAATTCACCAGTGGATGCTTGGGGTCTGCTTGGCCCCGGTCATCTTCTCTTCTATGGATCAATTTAAAATCCTGACCACTCCACTGGAGTCAAAGAGACCCATCAGAGATGGAAAAAGCAGAGAAATATTATTTTATAATAAGTTCTTCAAATATATTTCAATAATAATAATGCATCGGTTTTATAAAGCGCTTTTGTGGACACTCAAAGACACTTTGCATGTCATTATTCTTTCACTCTATACACAATGGTGATAAACTACTACTGTAGCCACAGCTGCCCTGAGGCACACTGATAGAAGCGAGGCAACCAGTATGTGCCATCGACCCCTCCGACCACCACCAACCATTCACACACACACACACACACACACACACACACTAGACTCATTCTAGGCAAAGGGGGTGAAGTGTCTTGCCAATAGACACAACAGCAGTTTGGCACTTTACAGCTGCAGCCGCCCCGCTGTGGCATCTGCTGTTCCCAGAGGTTAAGTGTCTTGCCAAGGACACAACGACAGCCGACATCCATGGGAGTCGGTGGAGAAAGTCTTGTGGTGGGCTCAAACCCACATCCTTCAGGCTCAAAGGCCGATGCTCTACCAACTGAGCCACTGTCGCCTCGTAACTTATTTAATATCTGTACTTCTGGTTTTGATACTAGTTTAAGTATGGAGTAATAAGTGATTTCCGATTTGCAGCAGGATCCACAACTCTAGTCAAATGACACATTGTCATTGTTGTCGGAGTGCAAAGTAAGATGTCAAGCCATAAATGATGGTGCAACCTGCGGTAAATTCTGCTGATTTGTGGCTTATCAGGTTTATCAACAGGTTCCTATGGTTCTCCCCCGTCCCCTCCCAGAACCAGACTTTTACCACGGTGACAGAAGTCCTCACTCAGACTGAACTTCTGTCATTATGGCCTGGCTCCACTCCTGATATTCGGTCTATGGCCCTAACGATAGAGTTGGGTATTGGATTGGCCTTTTGTTTATATGGAGACAGTGTTTCAGGAGGGTGAAAACGCTAACGTTGAGGAACGGCCTCCAGAGTGGAACAGAACAGATACGCTGCTCAGTGGGGGCTGTTTCACAAAATAATTCTCTGCCTGCTCTGACCTCACCAATTCCCCGCACGTACAGATGAAGCTTAAGCGCAAATTCAGACTGAAAGACCGAGCGCAACTCCCCCCATCCAGGCCAGCCAATCACACAGCCCGGCAAGCCTCTTGCCAACCCACTAACAGCAAAGCGGGCAGTTTAAAAGACAGCCACTTCCTGCAAACCAGCGCTTCCTGAGCTCTCAACACCCACCGAATCCCCCAGCGCCTCCTCTGGCTCCTGTCGGGCTCTTGCCCTGAAAATGCTCGTAAACAGCCAAAGCAGGAGCTACATCAGAACTAACCCAGGGTTGACAATGGGGGATATAGTGCTAGTTAACATGTGAGTTTTCATGCTCCTGTGACTTTATGCAACTACTTCGAGTGTGTTCACCGATGCGGAAGTACCGTTTAATAATAAAATAAACGTATTGCGCACCTCCGTGAACACATACTACTGTTATATAAAGTCCGTGGAAGGTCTCTGAACACAGACACATTGCAAAGCTGCATTATTGGAGAAGATCTGTACACAAGAAGCCGCTAGCCTAACTCTGTTAGCATCAGAGCCTGCCAGCTACTTCCGGCAGGCGCCAGGACCTCTGGTTTGAAGACCCCTGCGTCTGAAAACTATAGAACGTGCGTTTTAGCGTTGCCGGTTTGAAAGCACCATAACACTTCAAATACGGAGCCTGGTTGTTTTTGCAAATTGCTTTGCGGCCTCTCTGCAGGGTCTACGCAGCATCTCCGTCTAAACAGGGCCTACGTTTATTTATTTATTTATTACAGGGACAGTGCATCTTGATGAACATTTCTGTAAATCAGAATCAGAATCAGAATCAGAATCAGAATCAGAATCATTTTTATTGCCAACGTAAGTAACGGGAGGTCACAGACTTGGAAATTGCTTTGGCTCAGTGCAACAGTCAAAAAGAGATAATAAAAATAAGAATAAAAAACACTTCTAAAGAATAAATTTAAATTTAAAATAGAGTTACAGTTACTATTTACAATATACAAGTGCACATGGTGCACACAATGTAAGGTGACAGCAGTACAGTGAAGTAAAGTGACGTATGATGGGCAGTAAAGTGACTTTATAAAGGGCGGGGGGACAGGTTAAGAAGTGTTCAAGAGTCCAACAGCAGAGGGGAAGAAACTGTTCTTGTGGCGGGAGGTTCTAGTCCTGATGGACCGCAGCCTCCTGCCTGAGGGGAGTGGTTGGAATAGTCCATGTGCAGGGTGAGAGGGGTCGGCTGTGATACGACCAGCCCGGCCTCGAGCTCGGGCGACGTACAGGTCCTGCAGCGATGGAAGGCTGCGGCCGGTCACTTCCTCTGCAGAGCGCACAATGCGCTGTAGTCTCTGTTTGTCCCTGACTGTGGCTCCAGCGAACCACACGGTGATGGAGGAGGTGAGGATGGACTCGATGATGGCCGTGTAGAACTGCACCAACATCTGTGCAGGCAGCTTGGCTTTCCTGAGCTGCCGCAGGAAGTACATCCTCTGCTGGGCCTTCTTGATGAGGGAGCTGATGGTCGGCTCCCACTTGAGGTCCTGGGTGATGGTGGTGCCCAGGAAACGGAAGGACTCCACAGAGGTGATGGGGGAGTCCATCACGGAGGGTGGGGGCGGGGGGACAGTGCTCTTCCTGAAGTCCACAATCATCTCCACTGTCTTCTGGGCGTTCAGCTCCAGGTTGTTACCACTGCACCAGGACACCAGCCGGTCCACCTCCCTCCTGTAGGCGGACTCATCGTTGTTGGAGATGAGTCCAATGAGGGTGGTGTCGTCCGCGAACTTGATCAGCTTCACGGAGTCGTGGCTGGAGGTGCAGTGGTTGGTGTACAGGGAGAAGAGCAGGGGAGAAAGAACACAGCCCTGTGGGGCTCCTGTATTTATAATCCAAGGGTCCGAGACATTCTTCCCCAGACGCACTCGCTGCTTCCTGTCCGTCAGGAAGTCAGTGATCCACCTGCAGGTGGAATCGGGCACGTTGAGCTGGGAGAGCTTGTCCTGGAGCAGGGATGGCAGGATTGTGTTGAAGGCAGAGCTGAAGTCCACGAACAGGACCCTGGCGTAGGTCCCCGGGGAGTCCAGGTGCTGTAGGATGTGGTGGAGGGCCAGGTTAATGGCGTCGTCTACAGATCTGTTGGCTCTGTAGGCGAACTGCAGGGGGTCCAGGAGGGGGGAGGTGAGGGACTTGAGATGGGAGAGAACCAGGCGTTCAAATGACTTCATGACGACAGACGTAAGTGCTACAGGTCTGTAGTCATTGAGTCCTGTGATCCTGGGCTTCTTCGGGACGGGGACAATGATGGAGGATTTGAAGCAGGCCGGGACATGGCAGGACTGCAGAGAGGAGTTGAAAATGTCCGTGAACACAGGAGTAAGCTCACTGGCGCAGTGTCTCAGAGTGGCCGGAGACACGTGGTCCGGGCCAGGAGCTTTGCGGGGGTGCAGCCTCAGGAAGAGTTGTTTAATCTCTTTAGCGGCTATTGTTAGGCTGGGGGCAGGGCTGATGGGTGGGTCGTTAGAGTAGTTAGAGTAGTGGGGGGTGGGGGAGGGAGAGGTGTCAGGGGCAGCATCAAAGCGACTGAAAAATAAGTTCAGATCGTCAGCTAGCTTGTGGTCATCAGCACAGGGGGGGGCTTTGGGTTTGTAGTTGGTGATCTCCCGTAGGCCCCTCCAGACAGAAGCAGTATCGTTGTTACCAAACTGCTCCTGTAGTCGTTCTCTGTGCCGGGACTTGGCTGCTTTCAGTTCTTTCCTGAACTGATATTTAGCTGCTTTGTAGCCGCTGCGGTCCCCCTCCCTGAAAGCAGACTCCTTTGCTTTCCTGAGCTGCCGGAGTTTAGCAGTGAACCAGGGTTTGTCGTTGTTATAGATGACCCTGGTCCTTGTTGGAATGATGCTATCCTCACAGAAGTGGATGTATGACGTCACAGTGTCCGTATATTCATCCAAGCTGTCTGTGGCAGCTCTGAAAAGGTCCCAGTCTGTAGATTCCATGCATGCGCGCAGCTCTTCCACAGCTTCATCAGACCACACTTTGGAGCTCCTCACTGCAGGTTTCGAGAGCTTTAGTCTCTGTCTGTAAGCAGGAACCAGATGTATCATGGTTCCATGGTAAATATGTCAGAATTAGCCAAGCGGCTATTTTTCATCAGTAAAGTTGGTTGCTAAGGTATAAGCTGGTGTTTCCCCTTCAAATGAGGGCATCTTGGTCAATCCTGATTGGTCAAACCATATATGTCTAATATCTGGATTTTAGCAAGGCAATATCAAAAAACATAAACACCAGGATCACGGAGAGCACTAAACCAAAGATTTTTTTATATTTGAACTCATTCATATTTTTCTCAGAGAGAGAGAGAACACAGAGACTGGGCCCAGAGAGAGAGAGAGCGCACAGAGACTGAATTGCTCAGAGAAAGAGAGAGAGAGAGCACAGAGTCTTTGCCCAGAGAGAGAGAGCGAGAGCACACAGAGACTTGCCTCGGAGTGAGAGAGAGTAGAGCGACTTGGCTCAGAGGAGGTGAGGGCACAGGAACTGAGAGAGAGCACAGGGACTTGGCTAAGAGAGAGAGAGAGCAGGAAGAGAGCACAGAGACCTAACTCAGAGGGATAGAGTCAGAAGCGTGTGTGGCCCTCAGGCTGAAGGAATGTGCAGAATGCAGTCTCACTTACGCCCCATTGGTCCGGAGTTCTGCGTGGGCGTGTACAAAGTGCTCTGATTGGCTTTGTCTTTGTCTCCAGCGGTGGTTTGAAATTGGACACTGTTCAAAAGGGCTTTTCCGTTCCAGATTGGAGCCATGTGTTACGGGAACATACTGCGCTAGTGTTAGTCAGCGGAAAGAAATGAGATAAAAAAAATAGGGATAGGGAAAAGGGGCGGTGGAATAAGTGAGAATTTTGATAACAGGAACTTTATTCCAGGCCTGTACTTGTTCTTGTACTCCACCTGAAGTTGTTCAAGCACAAAAATATGTCTCAAAGTGAATGTTGAAATAAAAAATCAGAGGGAAAACCTGATAAATATGTAAATGTGTAGCTTTAGGGATAACAAAGTTTTGGACAAGGTTGTACCAAAGGAAGAGTATAATAACTACTAAATAACTACTCAATACTAATCTTAGTATTAGATAGCAATATGGCCTACGTGCAGAACTGTACAAGGACTCTGATTATTTTGACTATGATGTGACTGTCTCTGTGTGACACGTATGTCTTTCCATGTGTGACGTGACAATGACTATATAAACTGTGTACTGCCTTTATTCTGTCTGAGATAAAGAAACAAAGGAAACCACTGGAACTTGAGAGAAACGTAAATAAACTTCCAGAGTTTGGCGCACCATGATCCGTCTCTGTCTGCTTCATCCCTGACACTAATACTAGTATTACTAAAGTAAAATTACTGTAATAATGGTCATTCATAGCTCACAGGCTGCTGTGGTATTTATACTGTAATGTAGTAGTGTTAATGAGAAGGTGTGTAGTATTAGTAGTAGAGAATTAAGGGGCGTTCCGACTGGACCATGTTGAGTATCAATGTTGTGTCAACGGTGACACACGTCCGTGTGAATATTTGCATGTGCATCGCAGGTTTGCCCGGCACGGCAGACACATTGTTGCAGCGCGGCAGAGGCGGTGGGTTCGCCGACTTGACGCACCCGGTGAACGCAGGAGATGAATGTTGTTGATTTTCTTTTCCCGGACGCACGTGCGGCAACCGATGAGAGAGCAGCAAAGTGGTCACAAGGACAAAAGCCGGTCAAAACAAGAAGACAAAGACACACGAAAACATGAAAAAACATGAGCTAAACCAGGACTAGACCAGAATTAAACCAGGACTGACAATGGGGGACCCAGTGTCCATGAACATATGTTGTTGTTCTCCTCTGACTGTAAAAAAGTGCTGCACCACTTCTGCCCTGTGTTTTGCTGCACCGCAGGGCGAAATTTAGTTAACATGCGTCCATCAACACTGTCAGACTGTAGAAAGAACACTTTTACTCTGTCAAACTGTAGTAAGAACACTTTTACTCTGTCAGACTGTAAAAAGAACACTTTTACTCTGTCAAACTGTAGAAAGAACACTTTTACTCTGTCAGACTGTAGTAAGAACACTTTTACTCTGTCAGACTGTAGTAAGAACCCTTTTACTCTGTCAGACTGTAGAAAGAAAACGGTTACAATGTCAGTCTGTAGGAAGAACACTTTTACACTGTCAGACTGTAGAAAGAACACTTTTACTCTGTCAAACTGTAGAAAGAACACTTTTACTCTGTCAGACTGTAGAAAGAAAACGGTTACAATGTCAGACTGTAGTAAGAACACTTTTACTCTGTCAGACTGTAGAAAGAAAACGGTTACAATGTCAGACTGTAGTAAGAACACTTTTACTCTGTCAGACTGTAAAAAGAACACTTTTACTCTGTCAAACTGTAGAAAGAACACTTTTACTCTGTCAGACTGTAGTAAGAACACTTTTACTCTGTCAGACTGTAGTAAGAACACGGTTACACTGTCAGACTGTAGTAAGAACACTTTTACTCTGTCAGACTGTAAAAAGAACACTTTTACTCTGTCAAACTGTAGTAAGAACACGGTTACACTGTCAGACTGTGGTAAGAATGCTGTTATACTGTCTGCCTGTAGAAAGAGTCCTGTAACACCGTGAGAAGTGCAACTCACTTTGTGCAGACAATAGATAATAAAGAGCACTGTCCTTCTCCACATGGACCCAGTGAGTCCTGGGGCTGACCTCCCGCTGACCGCCCAGTGAGGAGGTCAGAGGAGGAATTCCTGTACACAGCTGTGCGAACAATCTCTGAAAAGGGGCGGGACTTACAGCTGCCAAAAAATGTATTGCCACACGGTGGAAGCCCCCTCACTAACTGTTTTCTGGAACCTTCCACAATACTTCCTAAAGAGATAATCAAGTGTGTGTGTGTGTGGGACTTTTAAGTATCATTGGACTGATGTTTTGTGCGTTGGATAGTGTTACAGATTGATCTTTTGTTCATTTTGTTTGGATGTTTAACAGAATAACAGACAGCTGTGAAAGGAAAGCAAAATGATACACCATTTCTTTTGTTTTTAAAATAAAAACTAGAGCCAAACATGCATGGATGGAATGAATGGGCAGGTTGGACAAACATTTCCCTAACTTCCGGTGGGAATGGAAAGAGTATGGCACAACTGCCAATCTACCATGACTTGGCTGCCTGCCTAAACTCACAGCTCCAATAAAGATAACAGTGATCACATACCACACCACCTCTGCTGCGGGGACCTAAAGTACTGCTGCATTTTATTACTATTGTTAGCTACTTTTAGAATTAGGTATATATTGTTATGCTTTGTTGGATGGATGTGTTTCTGGTGCTCCTACGGGGGATAAATGAATGAATGTTTGAATGTTTATTTGTTTGGTAAATTTTTTGATTAATAACAAATGACTAGATTACAACCAAAAAAAAAGGATTGGGCTGAAGCAACTTGTTTATGTGAGCCCATCACCTGACATACAGGTCATTAACTATCTAAAAACAATCAAGCAACTATCTATGTATCTATCTATGTCAGATTCAGATTCATTTATTTGCCATGTGCAGTATAAAAACTACATTGGAATACATTTGCAAAGAAAAGGTACTCTGTGTAAATAGAGTACCTTTTAGAATAAAGAGAACAATACAATGTAATGTAAAACACATGAAACACACACATACACTGAACATTAATAAAAACAGCTGACACTGTGGCATCGATCAACAAAAAAACGATACAAGGGGTAAAAGCAACAAATAAAGTGCTCCGTTTAGACACCTAACAGCCTGTGGAAAGAAGCTGTTAGCATAGCGAGATGTCTTGCATCTCAGCGACCGATATCTTCTGCCAGAGGGAACATGGCTTTACCAGGGTGGCAAGAAGAGTCATTGATGATTTTAGGAGCTCGGTGTATCTATCTATCTACAGTATTTACCTATGTATCTATTTACTTCCATAACACAGTTGTCTGTTAAAAATGTCAAAAGTTGTTCTGTTAAAAACCCAAAGTAAAAATTAGTAACGACAATAGCAATTTACACTAAGCTGATCCTGTCTTGAATATTCTTTTTATTATCCTGACATTGTGTTCCTCAGAGGAACAACATGTGACTGCTCTGAGGAAGACTGCGTGCCAGCTGTTGAAACTGTCAGGTACGGAAAAAAACAATCACCTCAAAAAGAATCACTTTGTAAAATGTGCAAATGATCAGTGCGTGTTTACACTTTGGCAACACATGCAGTGGTCCATGTTATTAGTCATCTCCTCAAATTATTATTGTTTACTTATTTTTCATGTAAACATTTTTGAAGTTTCCAATGATTGTGGGCATGGATTTTGGGCGAGTTCTTTATTGTCTCATTATATAGCAAACGTATGTATTGGCGACCAGTTTGAAGACAGTCTGTTGACTTAAACAAACCAGGAACCTTCAGCACGCACTGGGACATTTCACAGCCGAGTGTGAATCAGCTGGGATGACGATCGTGTCCAATGTGGGCGAGGACAGACAGCTCTGCACTTCAGCCAGAGATCTCCTTTATTTATCCTCGGCCTGTTACCACGGTCGGGTGTGAAGTGAATGCTGTGAAGCTGTAAATTGTTGTGTTATAATGTCCTGCTTCAGTTTTTAAAACTTTTCACAGCTTGTTTTGGAGTGTGATGAATCCTCAGTTCTTCGAGGTGAAGCTGATATGTCTTAATTTTACATTTTCTGCGATGCCTCAAACCTTGTCTGAATAATGCTGTGCTGTGGTTTCCAGTGGTGTCTGCTGGGCTAATGCTGCTGGATTTTTTAAATGCTGGTTGTTTTTTGCTGGCGTCAGAGCCTGCGCTAGCTTTAGCCAATTGCAGCGCTGGGTTAACCCTCGAGTCCCACCAGGGCCCGACGGAGTACCTAGCATGGAGGAGGGACTCCGTTGGGCCTCGTAAAAGTTCCTGTAAATGGCCCTGTGAGGGAAGTTCCTGCAGTGGAGACACGCACCGACGGGGCTGGCCCTGGAAAATTACCCCGAAGTTCCTGCAGTGGAGACACGGCTATTGATCGTCTTTTGCTGTATTTAAGTTTGAATTATTTAGGTTCCTTAAAACTCTTTGTTTATGTCACTAATGTTCTGATAACTCTTAAGTTTGAGATGTTGAATTTTAGATTGTACGGATCTTTATGTGACTTTTAGTACAATTATGTTAAAACTGAACTTGTCATTACAACAGTCTCCAGAAGTCTGTGAATCTGTATCGAAAAATGAGACTGAGGCAGCAGCACTTGTAACCCTCAGATTATTTCCGACTTCTTCCAAATAGAACCAAAGAAGACAACACTTTTTATTTGGCGTGTATCAATATTCATCAGAACAGAAACGTCATCACTCGAGTTTTTATTGACGCAGATGCTTAAGATACAGATACTAGCAATGTGGGTCAGAACAAAGACATTCAGTTCTTGAGATAAGACATGGAGGTCAGATTCCACATCGGACGGATTAAAAAGAAATTGTTAAATCAGATTACAACCATTAATTTTATTGCCTCCGTCATGGTTTCTGTATTGAGTTATCAGCCTTCTATCTCTTGTACATTTCCAGGGCTACTCATGCTAATAAATAAATTGTGTTCTTCGTTCCTGGTTCTTTTGCTCAGTCCACAATCGGCAGGTTCGTCTGGGGGACGTGATGTAATCAGTCAGGTGAGACAAGAGGCCGCTCAAAAACTGCTTGATGTTTTGACAGATCTGCTTGTGTTTTCCTTTGTGAGAGAGT